ATTTTATTATCATTAGATGAACAATGTTAAAAAATAAAATAAAGATTTTGAGTTTATAAAAGCTAAGATCTTGAAATTCACAAAATTAATGGTTTAGATTTGTTTTTGGAGGGGACTCATTTTGACAATATCTAGAGTTCAAATTGAACTTTTTTTTTGAGGGGGGGGTGAGGGGAATTGATTATTGAGATGAAGAGAGTGTGTGTGCAAAATTTGAAGTCATACAAATACCACAAACATGATTTTCTAGAAGTGTCATTGCAATATACTATGAGACAACCATTGCATTGGATCATTGCTCTATAGTATTTGGCACAGCATCATGTAACAAGACTTTTAGGACAGTGTTTGGTTTGTTGAAAATCTCTCTCCATGAGTAAGGCTGCGGTCCGAACCAGCCTTGGCCCAAGCCTAGCTCAGGTCCTAACAAGGGCACCCCGAGACTGGGCCAACTAAGGGGCAATGGCCTAGGCCTCAAAAAAAAAAAAAGGGAATATTGTTTTGGGCCAGCCTCTACAAGCTGGGTCTAATAGATTCAAAAAAATAAATAACTAATGGAAATAACGTGTTGGGCAGGCCCCGCCGGCAGCCCTCAGGCCATATTTTGTGGGGAAGCCCCAACATTTAAGGGTTGGCCGCCCAACCTATTGCCACCCCAATCCACAGGCCCTATTTTGTGGGCAAGCCCTAGCTTTTAAGGGTTGGCCGCCCGCCCAACCTACTGCCAAGAGAGCAATCTCCGAGAAATTGGTTTCATACTTTATTGGGAACAAAGTAACTTTTCTATAGGATAACAAATACTTTCTGCATTTGTATCGCAACGTGACTCATGGAGAATCCAGAAGATGGAGATTTTCCAAAAACCAATGTGGACAATTCACAATTGGCTTGATCAATCAAAGTCTATTTTGAAGAGAAATTTCCTATGAACCAAGTATGTCCTTAGTTTAATGGTCATGCTTCCTAAAAGAAAAAATTTATCAAAATACACATAAGAGATGAGATGAACCATTTAATATTTTACCTATTTAAAACTATTCCAACTCGATCTTTTTTTTTTGTATTTTGAAATTAAATAAAATATGTATAAGTTTTTAATTGTTCATCTCTAATAAGTTGATAGATTTCCCTTCTTAAAGAAAATACGAAAAGGTGTAAGTAAGTATATCAAAAGACGCAATCAACAGATTGATCCTTCTTACTCTTAATCATCATTAACCGTTGGATTTGAAATTGGGTGGAGGAGGATCGGCACAAAGTCCAAGATAAATTTTCTCGAATGTCACGGGGCTCTTTCATTAATTGGATTTTACATCTAATGGATAAAAATAATTGTGACCTCCTTGAATAAAAAATCAATGGTCTCATAATATACGATCCTTAAAATATAAATATTTTATAGTGGGACTCTTCTCACTCTCGGTAAATGCTTGCATAGTTCGCAATACATGTAATGGCAATATATTAGTAAATTTAAAAATCATAAATCGATTCGTACCTGAGCCAAAAAAAAATGAGCCATTGTTATTGATTCGAATTTAAAATAAAGAAATTGGTATGTATGTTTGTATAAGTTTGTGCATACATATATTACCTTTAATTACAACAAAGATTCAGTCCACAATGTATGGTATTCAACTAATAAACCAAAATAAATTCCATGTTGGTGTTCAAGGGACTTATCTCAATGCCAAGATAAAGATAACAAAGAATAATAAATTTGGGTTATTTTTTTTGTTCTCTAAATGCTAAAATATGTTAATATTTTATTTTGTTTGAAAATCAAATCTTTGTTTAATTTATTAAAAAAACGCACCTTTTAAAATGTGTTTTAAAAATTAAATTATTTGTAAAAATCATATTTTAAACATAGTTTCGCTAATTATGAACAACATCTAATCCAAGGAATAAGGGAGTTATATTTCATCAGAGCATAGTGTAGTAAACTGCACCTATAAATTGTCGTACGTGAAATACAACCCTCTAAGATTGAAGGAAAATTTAAGATTCAGTGTGGTTTTCTAAAGTTCGATAGTTCAAAATTCCTTTATAAATTGTACTCTAAGTATTTTCTCAGTTGGATTATTAAAAAAAAAAAAGCATCAAGCAGAATGGTGTGACGCTACTACCAACTTTTAAAAATGCTTCTAAAATATTTGAGTACGATAAGGTCGAGATCGAGCTTCTCCCAACCCGGGGAGAATGATGCAGAAAGAGATTTGGAAAATTCAAAATTTTGGTGTTATTTTTTTGTTTTCTTAAGAATAAGAATTGCATTAGAAAAAATTCGGTGGGAGGATTTTTGTGCATGAGTTTTAGCAAGGCGTGAGTTGACAACCAAGGGATACCTATATTTTGGTTTAGGAAACAGTTTATCTTTTAAAATAAGTAGATTTTATCTTTTATAAAGAGAAGATAACATGAGATTTAGAAAGATACATGAGGATTGAGATTTATATAAGAATTAGATAGAAAGAGATAAAAAAAAGTTTATTTGTGTGGGTTGTTTTATTTATTTATTTATTTTCTTCTAATTGTATTTAAAGGGAAAAAGTCTATCAATATAAAAAGCAAAGATAAGAATTCAATAAATAGTTGATCTTCTAAAGCGATCTTTTGGGGTGGACTCTTTTGCAGACCCTGAGAGAATGTATATTCTCTCACCCTTTATTATTAATATTGTTTTAATTATTTATTCTCTTCATCTCCCTGCATCAATTCCCTACCCTAGTTATTGATAAAACATTAGTACTTATACATTTTTGTTTCAAAATTATATTAGTTTAGAAGATTTTTACATGTGATAACAACATCAAGCATCAAATAAAAAATATAAAATTTTCATCAGTTCAAAGTTTTTAAAAAATATATAAAAATTTTGGAATATGAAATTTATTAGTAATTATGAGATGTCATATAAGGTATTCCAAAGAAAACAATTCTCACGATAAGATTGTGAACCAAAAAATGTATAGAGTAGGTGATTATAAAATTCATATACAATACCAATATACCTTCAAGCGGCAAGGTTTTTCTTGTACAATCTCTCTCTCTAAGTCTTCTTCTACCGTACACATGAAGTAGTACCTTTGAAAATTTAATTAAAAATATGGCAACTTACCTCAAAAGATGCATATGTTAATTGAGCTTCATTAGCGAGAGTAATTACACAAAAATAACATAATTACAAAAATATGAACATAGAGAACAATAAAAATGAATACAAAAAATAAAAATAAAAAATTAATAGAAAAATTTATAGCAAACTATATTCAAATACTATAAAATAATACATTAATGAAATAAGTAAAAAATATCAACGGAGGATGTTAAAGGCAATAGTTAAACCCTATGTAAATCTACTCTACATATATGGGTGGTGGAATACATTTTCTTTAGAATTTTTGAATTCTTATCTCCATTTATGCTTCACAATTCACATATATTGAAAGGCAAAATGCTACTTGCCCATAAGTTTAATATATTTTCAATAAAAAATTTATTTTATTCCCTGAGAGATACAACTAGAAATTTTAGGAAAGCTGTCCTTAAATTTGCTCTTTGCATGGGTATTCTTCTCTATCTACACTTTTTTTTTTTTTGGGTAAAGAAAAATATATTTTGGGTAAGTAAATTATTTTTGAAAGTAGGCAATGACCCACACCTGTGTCAGTTCAAGTCAACATAAGGCCTGCATCAGCATAAGTCACCATGAGGTCCGCATCATCACAAGTCATAAAAATATTACAAATAACAAAAAAAAATCAATATTAAAAATCTAGAATTCTTGAATTCTTATCTCCATTTAGGCTTCATAATCCAAATATATTGAAAGTCAAAGCTACTTGCCCATAAGTTTAATATATTATCAAAAATAAATAAAATTATTTTATTCCTTTCGAGATACAATTAGAAATTTTAGGAAAACGTTTCTTAAATTTGCTCATAAGACCTATGTCAGCACAAG